ACTGCCCCAGCCTTTAGGTGCCAGGCATAATTATCTAGAGGTTTCAGAGCTTAGTTTTCGCTCTGTTCTGCTTATACAGCTGAAAGCTCCTCCCCAACTCCCTCCCAGCATCCAGTGCATAAAGATGCATATAAGGGCAAGAGGGGGAGGGGAGCAAAAATAAAATAAAAAATATTCCAGCTTTGAAAAGAAAGCAGATGTTCCTGGGATCTCAAATTAAGTGCATTAGCTATGCGTTTTGCCTAGAGCTTCCAGAAAAGCAAATACCAGAGCCCCTGTTTATTGGCTGTTTCCTTGCTCACACTGCAATATGGCTTCCAAATGGAACAAGGCATTGAGCCAAAAATCAACAGAATTGCTTCGAAAAAGTGGGTTTTTTTTTTTTTTTCAGGGGAAGGAGAAGATTTTTACTTTCAGAAAAAAAAAATCCAGCCTAGGCAGGACACTCTGAAACTGAAAAAAATAAGTCAAAACATTGGCCTATCCCACTCTCTTCTTGTGGTAGAGCTGTGGTAAGAGAGACCCTAATCAAACCATTCAATAAAGATGCACATGTCATCAACTCTTTTTATTAGCATCTAATCGGGAGTGTGTGGAAAGCAAGCAGCACCCACCAACGGTAAGTGCCACAAGCTGGATGTTCGTCAACATGCAGAAGAGCTATTTGGATTGTAGAGTTGTGAACATCTTGCCAGAAGCGTCGCTGTTTTTCTCTTGCATTCAACATCGGTTTCCCTTTCACTCTCCCAGTTGTTTAGACACAGCAACAAGCTGCAGCATCTTGGGGGCATGACAGTATTGTCTTGTCTTTGTCAGGCTGTGCCACATTCTTCCATTTTCTTAAGAAAACCGGGCCACAAGTGAACTGTATTGTGGACTAGGTAGACAGTCAATTCAGAGGATGAGGAAAGGGGTCATTAAACTCTCAAACTGTAACTGTCACAAGAACTTATGGCAGCTGAAGATGCAGCCACTGAGTATTTAGTAAATAGAAACAAAATGAAACGCTTCATTTAAGGAATATGAAAATATTTTGCTTTGTTTGGAAGCTGTGGCTGTCCACTGAAAATGTCCGTATAGCAGGTTTGCAGTCATGGACAAAAGTYGGACTTTTCTGCAGAAAGCAAATGATTCTTTCATAATCCACTTTTCCATGGAGATAAATCCTTCATTTTCTCATAGACAGAACTACAAATAGTTCTGATAGAAAATTACAACCAGATCTAATAWACAGCTCTCTTGTATGAGGCACAACTGATCGCCCTGTGTGAGGCTGCTCTATTGCAAACAGGTTCCAGCTGAGCCTGCATTAAAGCAATGCCTACTACTGAAGATTGCTATAGAAAGCTGTGGGGTTTTTATGACATTATTGAAGTCCTCTGCAATGCTATTTGTCAGGAAATCACAACACATTTTTCAAAGACTGTGATTTTTGGTATCACTTGTCTTGTCTGCAGATGAGAGGGACAAGGCACAGGAAGGTGATAAGTTCATATGGGCTACACTAAAGGACAGACGTCRTACCTCCCAATTTTGTCATGGAGAAGAGAGTGGGTTACTCAGTCCTATAACATGCTGAAAATTGTTTTGTGGCCTTGAGATAGACTAAAGAAATGCAAAGGCAAACTGAAATTCTTATTCAATGGTCACCAGAATATGAGAATTACTTCTGCTTCTTATTAGCAGCACATGCTTCTCACGTCGGCTGGCTTCAGCCTTTATTACAAAGCTCTTCCAGCCTTATAGACAGCCTTAGAATGACAATGGCAGTAGATCTTGTGCCCCCCTAAAATCATAATTTTGATGACATAATGAACTGTAGGGCATCTTGTTCTCAGAGGTGTTATTTTCTCTGTTTCTGCTGTATTAAATTGGTGAATATTGTCTTGTGCGCTGCTATATCCTACCTGAATTCCCCAGATCAAGCTCACCCAGTTAAGTTTGTCTTCTGAGCTGGATAAACTTGTAGACTTGGAAAATGAATCTTTAAATTTGGCATTCTTACTGAACAKTTTTTTTGTACAGCCACATACTCATTCTAAACAAAAGAGATGTGCTCACCGGGCTGCAGGTTGTTGTTGCTATTATTATGACCAGCTTGTTGACTTAAGATATATTGACTTCAGGGTTTTCTCTGGGCTAAGCAAAATAAATTCTCTCCCCCTCAGTACCTTCTTAGAGATCTTTGAAAACAACGTATATTTATCATTGAGATCTCCCGAGGTCGCCTGTTTTCTGGATCCAAGCACAGGAAGTTTTTGTTTTGATTTGTTTTGCCCTTCTTTCACTTTTATTACCATTCATTTTGACAGCCATATTTTAACAACTAGTCTTTTTTTCACAAGTAGTAGGAAGAGTGTACAAACCTCATCCACAAGAAATCTTGCTTTTTTGTTATGGTCTGGAGTAGCTTTCTAAGGAATCATTATAGAATGCAACATTTGAGGCATTTAGAAATAATTCAGTGTGTGTAATCAAGCACTGAAATGACCTAAGGATGTAGGCCAGGACTTACAGATCTAAATCCATTTGAATTAAACTGGAAATACCTGGACAAGTAGACTGAATGCTTATGCATATTCATTACTGTTCATGCAGCCTTCTGTTGGAGAAAGCTTGGGGGCTACATATGCACATCACATGAATAAATGGAATAAAGGATAATTTGCTAATAATATCATATCAGTATTTATTACCTCTAGTTTTCAGTTGAGAAACAGATAAATTCATAGTGAATTTAATAACCTTCTGAAGGTCACAGAAATGGTCAAATTCATAGTGTTTAAAACTTTAGGCACAAAATTGCCTTTTTTGTTGATGTCCATCCATTTTCAGAAGCCCAAATCCAAAGTGCTGATGCATAAGTAAAAAAGGATTCCAAAACACGTAGTTCAGAAGAAAAAGGTGTGCTTTGAGTCCTCTTTTACGTGAACTGCCTTTTAATTCAGTATTCCAGCTGCCAGTGAAATTGAGCTGTATGAATACAAGCATCTTCAGGACAGACATGTAGCAAGTAGTTTGGCTTTTCTTTAGGAAGTGGATAATTCTGTCCTATGGTGGGTTACAGGAAAAGATAATAACACCAGGGCCAATAGGACAACTCTTGCATGGAGTATCTAGACCTGAAAATGAAGTCTGAGTTAAGAATGCGGTGCTTATTTCTTTTTCATGGTGCAAGGGGAAAATCACCCCCAATCCAATCCAATCACAAGTTGGTTGGAAAAAAAAGAGTCAGAAAAAGCCTCCTAAATATTTTCACTTGGATATACTTTCACCAGATGTTCTCTGTGACCTGGTCAAGCCAGGATGTCTAAACATCCTAGGACAAGATGAGCAGAGCTCATACAGACAACACACAAGGAACGGAAAATAGCTTGTGTGTACATGTACTGCCATTTGCAGGGGTTGTATTCATGCCTAGGGATAATGGTTATATGGATTTGTGTTAGCTTTGATAAATATCCATTGGAATAACTTCTGCAATGAGTGGGCTGATAAAGCAAGTGATCTCTCTAAAACCTACACAGCTGCATTTTTCTATGCCTCTGTGATTGCAAAAACAAGCAATGCCAACCTTTCTAGAATGAGCTACAGTCTTATTTCACCCCCTAGAATGAATATTCATTGATTTGATGCTCAGATCATTTTATAATTGTACTTCAAGCTTTCTAATTGCAGCACTTTATTAATCTTTGACAAGAGAGGCAGAGGTTGGAAAAAAGAATGAGAGAGAGAGAAAAAAAAGAAATCATTCTTCTCCACGGCCTCAGCCAAGAAAAATACACTTAATGAAGTTATATACCATTACCAGCAAAGGCCTATTTCAGCATGGGAAAGTATAGCTTGGTTAAACAACCCATTTGTCTTGCCTGGCCTTTTTGTCATAGCAAGCCCCAGTGATCTGTCTTCTACATGGTGATTTGCTCTTATGTGTCATCTCTTTCAGAAGCCTTCTCAGTGTACCTTAAATAATTTTTTATTTCCAGAAAATTAATGGAATTTTATTTTTAATTGATAACTAGGAAGACGCAGTGGGAAGAGGATGTGTTCAAAACTAACTGAAGGTAGAGGTGCCAACAGGGCAGAGATAAAGCAAATGGACTATTGAAAGCATTTTTTCAGTAGRTCTGCAATATCTTCATTTGACATTGTGGTCAACATCAACTGTGAGAAAGGTGTCGCCATCTGGATGTGAACGCACACAAGCATACACAGACTATTTGGACACTTAGTGAATGATGTGTCATACTTGTTTTTCCTCTTACCACTTCTTTATTTACTCTCTGAATTTGGGGCAAATAAAACCCTATTCAAAAATTCAAGTAGATTTAGAATAAATAACTCAGAGGAAACAAGTGCTTCTTGCTTTTAGCCTGTCTACTTACCTGTAGTTGTCACAACTATTGAAGTTCTATTAAAATTCCATCAAATTTAGTGAAAATTTCCTGCTACGCAGAATGGAGATCTTAATTAGAATTCCCACTTGGAGAGAAAAAAAAGAAAAAGAAAAAAAGAAAAAACAGTTGCAGTCTCAGCACAGCAGTTTTTAATTTATTTTTTCCCTAATAAGCAGACAGTTAGCACATACTTAGCTCAGAATCATCCACAAGATGTTGTCTTTTTTCCCCCCACTGCTTAATTGGAGAACACGTTGAATATAAGCATCTTTGGGGCAAACATGTGGCAAGCATCAATACATATATGCACACAGAGCACGTGGATGGAGAGAACTAGCAGACAACAGCAAACTTCAAGGTGTGGTAGACCTCAGGGATGCAAGAGAATATGAAGAGACAGTGGGAACTTGCAAAGAGGAGACAGAGAAGGGAAAGCTAGGGTTATTGGCAGGAAAAAGGTTTAATGATGAATGACATACACCTGGAARGAATCAGGTGTTATTTATTTCAATCAGGCAATCAGCAGACTATTTGCTGTATTTATCAGGAAGCTTCTGGGTTGAAGCCTTTAGGCTTTTTGACAATTGTTGCTATGGGTATTGAGATAATATTTAGAGCTTCTAAGCAATAATGTACATTCTCTTTTGCTACTTACTGCATACAATGAATGTCTGCTGATCTAAAAAGCTTTATTGCTTTCAAAGATAAGATGTACGAGCTGGAACACAGAGCCTGAAAGTCACTTTGCTGAAGTCTCATGGAGCAATGGACTGATAAAGGTATGTGGAATGCTGAATCCATTTCTGCCTCATTCAGGTCCTTTTAAGTATTTATTATTGGTTAGATCAGATGGAATTGGTCAGTGTTATTACAGAGAGGTGCTTGAATGACTTGGCTGTTGAGCTGCTTCAACTGTTTGGTCTCTTTCCTGTGCATGTTTAAAGGTATTAATTTTACTTGCTGAGAAATGTTTTATAGGCCAATGAAACTTTACACCAATATTGCAGAGTAGCCTCTGAGTGAAAATTTATGATTATTCATGTTTACATTTAGTGGCTAATTCTGTGGGCCACACACAAGCATTGCTACATAGCCTCTATGCTGAATTATAACAGTCTGATCAGATTGGAGTACATGCTAAGGAAATAACACYGCGTGGCAATTAAATCTGTTAAAAACTTTTCAAGAGTCCACATGGACCCCATCTATACCACAATGGGAAAGAAGGCTTGGAAACATTTTCAGGCACTGTAATGTGATTGTCTATAGTGTTAAACTATGAGTGGTCCATGGCATCATTTTGTCTGTGCCTGTTAATAGTGTGTGTATTATTATTATTATTATTATTAAGCATGGCTCAGAGACTATTCCTGTGACCATTCCTGTTACGCTGGAGTGACCATTTCTGGAGGTTGATTTCAGTAGCCAGCCTGTTCTGGGGGTCTGGGAGAAGTTAGAAGCTGATTCTTCAATGCTAGTTGGCTTGCTAAAAAATGCTCCTGAGCAAATTTGGTTGTACTAGCGTAGTTGTGTTTTGAGTATGTCTGGTTCAGATGTTCAGAGTTAATCAACTTGCTGGGAGAGGAGTAGAGAAGCATTTTCTCCAAAGCAAAAATTTCGCATGTGTTTCTTGCAGTAGGAAACGAGCTCTATTTTCTAGTATCATATGGCAAACTCATTTATAGAGCAGGATACCTTCATGATTTTGTTAACTTCTATTACATGGTGAGGTGTAGCTTTTGATCTTTTTCTACAAATCTYTAGTTTGTTGTGCATTGGGAGAATCCTGCAGCCTGTATTGTGTGGGAACACGTAAAGTGAAAGATCTGTGTTTTCCCCCTAAGCAGAAAAGCTAACAAATGGATGCTGCAATTGAAGAGACAGAATTTAAATGATCCATCTGAGGTCACTTTGTTGAATTTGGAGGTGGTGGGGGGGAGGTGGAATGATGATCTGTTCTTTCTCAAGTCAGAAAAGTGTTTCTTTTTCTTTGTTTAAGTACAYTTATAATCCTAACTGCTGATGTATTCACTGAATATTTTCATGTGTGAAAACAAGGGCAGGTGTCTTAAATTGTCCATCAGAAGCTTCACCCACTAGGTCTTCCTTCATCTTTACACCTGTGTTTCACAAAAGAGTTGAATGGGGGTAAAAATCTTCCCTGATAGTTCTGTAGCATTCTGTGAAATATCAATGTATGTTTTCTTTCTGTGTTGTCAGCTATGTTACAGGTTGCTGGTTTCATTTTAAAATGATTTTTTTCTCAAGAACCCTGTAACAGGAACAAAATCAGACAGAATTTTTGTGGAGAGTTTTTCTTTCACTATCTCTCTCTATCCCACCCTACACCAGCTGCCTTACAAGTGAGGTATGTTTGAGCAGGCTGACTTCAGAAAACGATGGGAGAGACTGTTGCACTTGGAGGAGCTAAGTTATTTTTTCTTTTTTTTTTTTTTCTGCTGCTCTAAATTGCCAAATCAGCAGAAGAGAAGATCCACCACTTCAGAGAAAAGCACAAGGGGAGACTTAAAATCTCATTCCCCAAAAAAATGATTTATCTTTCAAGGTTTCAGGATTTTTTCCCCTCTTCTCCTGCTATGCCTAAATTTGTCCTTCTAATAACATTTTTATAATATAGCATTRCACAAAGAACACAGCAAAAGCCCATTCAGCTCAAGCGCAGCTGCTTGTAAAGGCTGCATGAATGAGCTGTTTTTTTCTTTGCACTCTGCTCAGTGTGTTTCTCAACACCTCTGAATTTAACTTTTTTATTTTCTTTTTTCCTTTTAAGGAGGAATTTGGGCAGAAACTTCATTTTCATTTTATAGGTTGATTATCTTTTATCAGCTCTGCATCAGAAGTGTGTGGAGCATCTCTTGAGCTCAGTATCTGGTGATCCAACTAGCCCTTTCAGCCATATTAGTCCCTTATCAGTTCACCAGAGAAATGCATCTAAAGGATATAATTTTCACTATGTTCCACATCATACTCCCTAGACCCATGGAGGATGCTTGCTATTATGTTCTGCCTCTAGTAGAGGATGAAGAGGCAAACTCAAACAACCACARGAAGGGATTATTTCAGACAGTGCAATAATTGTATAACTCATGGCCACAAGATGCTCTGGATGATTGCATTTTCATAGTTTCAGAGTGAATTGAATAAACTGAGGGGAAAATGCATCTTAGGGTATTTGAATTGACACCTTTTAATTCAGGTGGACGGTGAGGATAAGGTCAGCAGAAACCAGCGCTGCTTATCCTCTTCTCATGTTGCTCCTAGGTATTGCTGTGAATTCCTGGCAACAGGTGAGGTTTCCTTATTTTCTCAAAGTTTTATCCAAAAGAAAAATTACATTTTTAAAAGTCAAAATGTTTCATTTCCACTTGCCAACTTAAATCTGTTTTGTTTTACAACTGAATCAGCCTCAGTCTTCAGAGGAGGGGAAAAAAACTAAATTTCTTATTTCACAGCAAATCAAACATTCTGTGTTCAAACTGAATTTTGTGGAATCTCCTCCAATCCTCCTTTGGAAAGTAAAGCTAAACTGGTCTTTTTTTCCTTGGAGTGACATGAAACTGCTCTTTGTCTTTCTTGACTCCCCAAATTGATTGTATTCATGCAGCTGTCTTTGAGAAAAGAACTGACATTTTTTCCCCATGCTATCAAATTTGCTATTAAAACAAAGAAATAACAGCAGTGGCTGAGAGAAATAGTCATGGAACATTGGAAACCCAGAGGGAAATTTTGCCAATTGCAGTCAGTTTTCAACCTCGAGGGGAATGAGGGGATGAATATTGTTATATGGTTTGCTAAGTCACTTGTAAAGCACTTTGGGTTCCTCCAGGATGAAAGGCATTATATGAACACAAGTTGTTGTTGTTAGGACTTGTGAAATGTGAAGACATTATTAAAGATTGTGGTCAAATTTCCCTAGGCAAAAAGAAATTCCCCCATCAGTTTTGCTCCCTCCAATTGGATGTTTACAAGGTGCTTGTAATTGGCCGATTCCCTCCTCAGTTTTAAACCCCATTTCAGTGGTCATGTTCCTTTTCATTGGCAGCCTATTATTTAATTTCTCGGAAAGGAGTTTTATTGGGCAGTTTTTGGTGCTCCTGGATGTCAAACACTTTCTTCATCGTTGTTCTCTATTGATATGTCTTTTCTGGTCCCTGAGGAGCAAAGTTAGAGAATTTTTCATGGCCGAAGTTTTGCCATTTAGGAATTTGAGGTGAAAATGACCCAAAGGTAGCCCTTTTCATCATCTTTTCTGGCATGCAGTAAACCATGCATCTGTTGCTGTGAGATCACGTGATGGGGCAAAGGACGTTGAAAACAAGATGTTCTGCACAGATTACAAGTAAAGCCTAGAAACTGAGATATCCATTCAGAACAACAAATACATTAATCGGCTCCCCTACTTTTTGTAGTCTAGTTCTGCAAGAAAGAGAAATGTAAATCTCCATGATACTTTATTTGGTGTATGGGAGCCTTTCTTCTACCTGCCAAGCATTCCTGTTACACCAAACCTCTCCCTGCCTTGTCTCCATCCCAGGCTTTAAAGAATGACAGTGAGACTGACGTTCTGACAGCCTTTTTTTGAGGATTACCTCCAGCACAGAAGATAAAGGGCCTGGATTCAGTCCATGTTTACCTGGATATTTGCACATTTAACAGTAAATGCCACAGAGATAATATGCTGTTAAGTTTTACAAGCAAATTCACTCAGCAGCTAGCTTGTGGTTTTTGGCATGAGCCCAAAGCTGCTCTCCCAGAAGGTCACAACATATGAAGAGAAAGGGACAAGTTAGCATTCATTTTTAGGTGCTTTCCTTGGAAGGAAGGGGATGGGTGCAACTCTAGGTTTGGGGCCAGGAAAGATGGCTTTGCTATATCAGTTCAGTAAGACACTAGGTAGAAAAAAGCAAGGTTGGACTTCAATGTTTTGTTAGTATATCTAGATACTGGAGCACTGAATGAAGGGACTCCTGTGATATCTCATAGGAGGTTCCATGTGTGAGGGTGATGAGCAGTGGAACAGGCTGCCCAGGGAGGTTGTGGAGTCTCCTTCTCTGGAGGTCTTCAAAACCCTGTGCCACGTTCTCTAGGTGTCTCTGCTGGAGCAGGGGAGTTGGGACTAGATGATGWTAAGAGGTCCCTTCCAACCTTAACCATTCTGTGATCTCACCAAAACCCTCTAACTTGCTAGGTGAAGCTAGAAATTTCTCTATGTGCTCTAATGAAATCATTCTGCCTGTCTCTGTGCTGTCAATTTTTATAGCTTTAGAAAGATGAGCACAGTCAGGGAGTCTCCTGGCACTTTAAAGAACAGATCACTGGAAATAAAGCAGCAGCCTGGGAAACAATACTGTCTTTTGCCCATTTTTTCCAGTCTGCTGGCAATGACTTCAGTGCATCTCATCACAGATGTGGCTAACTCAAAGAAATGCACATGCTGCACAAGTTTCTAAAGGAATTATGCAAAAAGCCCAGCAGATTAGAAAGCACACCAGGTTCCTTGCTTTATCTTCTTCAGCAGAGAGAAGCAAATCTATTGTTGCTGCTTACCCTCAGTGCAATGGTTTGCCAAACCTGGGGCAGTATAGATTCTGCTAAAGCACAGACCATAATAAAAAAGTTGYGGGCCTTCTGTGCATCCCTGTCTCTCTGAAAGTAACAACTGTACATGTGCAGAAGTAGCATGGCCTGCCTTGCTAGTAGGCATCCTATCCCTTTCTTCAAAAGCTACAAATGACCTATGCTGATTAGGAGGGAGTAG